TATATATATATATATATATAGATATAGATATAGATATAGATAGATAAATAAATAAATAAATAAAAAAATCAAAACAGTGTTGTATCAGCATGCATATATATAAATATTAAAATATATGTAGAGTTTTTTTATAGCTCTTTTTATACAACAACAACAACAAAAAAAAAAACAAAAAACAAATCTATTACCAATATGATCTAATTTTTTTCCTTTCATATAAATACATATATATATATATATATATATAATATCTTTTAAAAAAATATATTATATTTTTAAAAAATTATGTGTTCATTTAATAGTTATTTTGGAAACCATAAATCTTAAAAAAAATTACTTTGCTTTTTATTATAAAGAAATATATATATACACTATATTTTTATAATTATAATTTCAAGTTCCTTTTTTTTTCTTTTTTTTTTTTTTGAACACCCTCCAAAAGGCAAAATTAAAAATTTGCCACAATGAAAAAAACAAGATCAAAAAAAAGAAAAAAAAAATTGTATATTTTTTTTTTTTTTAAATATGTATATAATAATATTTATTTTTTCATATATATTATTATAAAATCAAATATTATATATATAATAAATATTATGTATAAATGAGTACTTTTATTTTTTTTTTCTTTCTTCTTATATATATTATTATATTATATTATATTTATTTATTATTGTATATACAACCAAAATATATTTTGCCTATAATATAAATTAAAACCTATACAAAATGTATTTATATATATCTGATCTGACCATATATAGAAAAAGTTTAAACTTTTTTTATATATTTTTATTATTATTATGCAATATAAATATATAATTATTATTTAACTATTTTATATATTAAAATAATAAGATATATACATAATAATGTATTTATCTTTTCATTTCTGTTTTTTTATTATAACCGAAAAATATTTTTTTTTAACCATGCGCTTATTATTTTTTTTTTTTTCGCTTAAAAAATAAATTATTCAAACATATTTATTATATATATATATATATAATTGATAAACTCCTACAACCTATTTTTTTTTTTTTTTTTTTGTTCTTGTTCTATCCATGAGATAAAAAAAAAAAAAAAATAATTGACGAATTATTTATAAGCACATATATATATATATATATATATATATATGCTCACATTTTTGTATTAAATAAAAAGAATGACATGTACTTTTAAAAAAGTTTATATTATATTATATTATAAATTAAAAAGCACACTACTTTTTATATTATAAACATAATCTCTCTTCTTTTTTTTTCTTTTTTCACACTAAATAATATTATTAAGATTGTATAATATTATGATAAACAAAAAATAAATATACAACAAACAAGTGTATATATTAAAAAAAATATATATATATATATAATATTTTATATATATATAATATTTTATATATATATATTATATTTACATATGTGTAATAGTACCCTTTTTGAAAAACAAAAAAATTACAAAAAAAGAAAATAAATGTAGAAACAAATAAATAAATAATTTTTTACACATATACATGTAATATATTTATTTATTTATATTTATTTATATTTATTTATTTATATTTATTTATATTTATTTATTTATATTTATAAGGACCGTTTCGTTGTTCACTTGAACACTTTTATCGATATTACATTTACAATAATTTTTTTCAAATATCTGTCAAATAATATATAAAATATTATTAATGTTACATAATATAATAATGAAAGCCCGAAGGAAAAAAATATACATCCATTAAAAACAAACGGAACCAATGAAATAATAATAATTATTATTGTACGCGTACTACTCTTTTTTATATATTCCATATTTTTCTTTATTTTCCAAATATTTATTTCTTATGTTTATAAAAAAAAATTATCATTCTATTTGTATTTGTAATTTTTGTGGTATCATTTATTTTTATATATATACATTATCATTAAATATTTTGTAAGTTCTTCCTCATTTATATCATCTCATAAATATGATAAGATATTTTTTGCCTTTTGATTCCTTTTTCTATCATTCGATCTTTCTTTATTTTTTTTTTGATACAATTGTCTTTTTTTTTTTCTCATATATATTATATAATATTATACGTTTTATAATTCTTTTCTATAATGTTTAAAACATTATCATCATTATGATATCATCATTATTATATCATCATTATTATATCATCCTTATTAATACTACTACTTACTACTACTACCAACAAGTATCTACATAAATAGATATCATTTTTTTTTTTTTTTCCTCATTAAATGTACCTTGTTCGTTCATATATATATTTCTATATATGTTTTTTAATTAGTTTGTAAAGGTTTTATTATGTTATTTATTGACTTTTCATCTAGATGTAATATAATATATAATACTTTGAGATTGGTTGTTCGTTATATAACTTTTTAATTATTCAAATTTCCTTTTTTTATATTTTTTTTTTTTTTTATTACTCTTTATATAATTAACATATATATATATATATATATATATATATATATATATATATGTATAATAACATATATTATATATAATAAATTTTGTTCATGTTTTATTATTCTACATATTTATTTTTTTTATAAAACTATTATTATAATTAATAAACATATTCTTTTATATATAATGTATAAAAAAATATATATTCTTGACGAAAATATAAAAAATATATAATTAAATATATAATATAAATAAAAAATATAAATATAATATATATAATAATATTATATCTATATATGATATATAAATGTTGACAATTTATTATTCCAATGATAAATATAAAAAAAAATAATATAAATATA